AATATCTAAAGTGAAATACAAACAATTAAACGTTAGTATGTTCATAAAGGTTAAATATTAGTATTTCATAAACATTAAATATTAGTATGTTCATAATAGACTAAGAAGTATAGAAATATTAGAGAATTTTTATTTTCCTCATTTTAGAGAATGATTAATCTAATATTTAAGTCATATATTTCCCCTTAACAAATGTTTGGATTAATTATAGAAAAAATATTTTCTATAATTTTGTATTTTTAAAAAGTTACTGTGCCCTTATTATATATATATATATATATATATATATATATATATATATATATATATCCGGATTAATTAATATTTAAATTCTATATTTCCCTTTAACCAATGTTAGAAGTAATTTTTGCAAAAAGTATTCTGTAATTTTATATGAAAAATAAATTCAACTGTGCCCTTATTATATATATATATAGACAGACGGAACCGGGTTAATCAAATATTTTGAAAGTAATATATTCGAATATAATTTTGTATGTGAAAAAAAATTCAACTGCGTTAAGAAATCTGAAAAATTAGATTAAATGGGAAATCACCTATAGCAAATTTTATATTTATATAAGTTATAATTCATGTAATTATTCGATCCATTTTTTTAGTTTTATGGTTATAAAATATTTAAAATTTCTTAGTTTTATATTGAGTTAATACCCAAAATCGTCTTAGACTATAGTGGTTTTTCTCAATTTTGTCCTAAACGACTTTGGTGACTTAATGTAGTCCCAGAGTTTTGTGTTTTTACTCAATTTCGTCCCAGACTTTTGTGTTTTTGCTCAATTTAGTCTCCCATTTGTTATTCCGTCCATTTGTTGTTAAATAAATAGACAATTCATTAATTTTAATATTGGCATCTCTTTATTCATAGACATGTGAAGTGCGAAATCCCTTTTTTTTTTTTACGAATTACTCCCAGAATCACTTCTAAAGCTGCGAATATAAAATTTGATTCGTAGGTCTGAGAGTAACTCTGGGTGTAATTCGTGTAAGAAAGAGAGATTTCTCACTTCGCAGGTTGAAAGTAAAGAGAGGTCAATATTGATATTATTGAATTGTCCCTTTATTTAACACCAATTTGACGGAATAAAAAACGGAGGACTAAATTGAGCGAAACACAAAAGTCTGGGACTATATTAGGTCATCAAAGTCGTTTAGGACAAAATTGAGAAAAACCACTATAGTCAAGGACAATTTTGGGTATTAACTCGTTTTATATTTATACAAGTTCAAAATTTTTTAGTTTTAAGTTATAATTTATTAAATTATTCCATCTGATAATTTTTTAGTTAACAGATAGCCGAAGGAGCGTGGAATGCCGTAGAAAGAAGAAAACGTAGAGAGATTTTCGGCAAGCGTATTTGAGTGAGAAGCTGCGCAATAATAATGGATTAGGGTTAGGAATTTGCAGATTTGAGAAGTGTACAGTAATGGGTCTAGGGTTTGTTATTTGGGTTTTGTTTTGTTTTTTATGCGTAAATTATGCCGTGCAACCGTGTGCACCATGCATGGTGCACACGGTTGCAAAAATGGCGTCGTTTTGATTAAAAATGCGCGTCCGACTTAAAAAAAATCAGTTTCGATTGTTGTTAACGGCGTTATGTTGTGCATAATTTGAACTATATATCCAGAATTAATGAACTATATATCCAGAATGAATGAAATATATATCCAGAATGAATGAACTAAATATCCAGAATGAATGAACTATGTAGTTTAAATTATGCACAGCATAACGTCGTTAACGACAATCGAAACTAATTTTTTTTTAAGGCGGACGTCAAAACGATGTTGTTTTTGCAACATGGTGCACACGGTTGCACAGTATAACGCTCCGTTTTTTTGGTTTTGGACCGATTTTTGCAATATGAATAAAGACTTTGATTTTAAGATATGTACTCACTTTTATTAAAAAAAAAAAAAAAAAAAAAAAAAAAAAAAAAAAAAAAAAAAAAAAGAGATATGTACTAACTTTTTAATAATTTGTAATTTTGATTAATATTTTAATAATTGTTTTTAATAATTTGTAATTTGATTTGTAATTTTGATTAGTTTTATTTATTATTACTAATTTAACTTTTTATAGTCAAATTGATATGAGACCATAACATTTATACTTAAATTTTTCATACCGTGCATCACGGGTAAAATACTATTGTATGTATATACATATAGAATACGAATACTTACCTACGTACGTAGAAACGGAGCCGGCAACCCTCACCGCTCTCTCTCTCTCGGCTTTCCCTTCAACCTCACCATGAACCTCTTTCCCCTCCGTCTCTCTTCTCTCTCGGCCAAACAATGGAGTCCGACAAAGCAACATCAACCACCATCAACAAGCAAGGCAGCGACGGCGGCGACGGAACTCCGAAAAGAACAACATTAAGATACGGCGGCGTCGCCCTCCTCCTCCGATGACGACGTGGCTACAACAGCATCGACGAGCAACCCTTCGGCAGTAGCGTAAACGACGTCCGGCAGTAGGGAGGGTGACAGAACCGGCGATCGCGTGTTGGTGTTGAAGGTAAGCCACGAATTCATGTTGATATAACCATTTAATAATTAGGTTGAGTATTGGTCACAAGAAGCAGCGCTAATCCAAGTGGTAAGGAAGTAAGTTATGGTTAGTTTGGCTTGGGTTTGAACCTTACCCTAAGCATATCTAGATTACCTAGGTTTATAACCTTTTAGTTATCGATGAATGTTGATTAGTTGATTATTGTTAATTAGGGATAATTAAACTATGTTGATTAATTAGCTTATTTGGGTAAGGATACGTTTAGCGCTAGGAGAAATTTAGGGTTCGAACCAACCCTTAGGGTTTAATTATTCTATTAGTTCGATTATTTAGTGAAAGCCCAATTTGATTCACAGGTTTCATTGACGGTGTTTTAGATTGCTAAGCGAATGAGGTAACCTATGTCTTAACAAAACCTATTTTCCTTGCTATATCTTATTTATTGGCTCCTTTGATAATCGTATGTGTAATTCTGTGATTGAGTCTTGATAGAGCCTTGCTTAGGGTTTATATTGTGTTTATTTGATAATCTTGATGTTCTTGTTATTGTGATTGATTATATGTATAATCTTGTATTTTAATTCTGTCTAGAGCCCTAGGGGTAGAGCCTTGCTTAGGGTTTATATTGTGTTTATTTGATAATCTTGATGTTCTTGTTATTGTGATTGATTATATGTATGATCTTGTATTTTAATTCTGTCTAGAGCCCTAGGGTTTATATCGTGAATTTCGTATTATGATGTTCTTGGTATAGTTGGGTGGGATTGTGCATGATCGGGTGTTGACTCTAGCCTAGGACTTGTATTTAGGACTTTGCATATAGATTCCTTGATATTCTTGTGGTTCCGGATGCTCTTGAACCGTTATATGATTAATGTTGAGTCTTGGCATGTTTAGGAATCGTGTTAGAACGTATTCGGTGTGATTCTTGATTTAATCCCGTTAATTGAATACGTGGTGTTGTCGTTATGTGTTTGAAATTGCCTGGACATGGTTTCAGGTTCCATGAGAGATCCCGGGATCGAAAGTTGCCTGTGAGTCAGTGGGGGGTAGGTGGGGGCATGGGTGCCCGCTAAGAAACTTGGCTTCTTCCCCAAGCCAAGAAAGACCTCACCCAATCTTGCAAAGATTCATCCCAAGATCCCACATTTCTATCTTCCAAGCTTAGGAAAGGGTAAGATCTAAAGTTGTTTAGTGTTTTTTATTAGCTTTAAGGTGTCTTTATCTAAGTTTGGTGTTTTCTTGTGGTTTGGCTTGTGAAAGAAAGTTGTGAGGAAGAAGAGCTTTCAATTAGGGCTTAGGAGGGTTGGAAGGAAGAAAGTTTTAGTCTACAAAGGTAACCCATGCTATACAAAACCTATTTCCTACTTGCTATTAATGATTCTTGACTTCTATTGATGATTCTTGGTGTAAATGTGAGATTTGATGCATGATCTTGTGATAATGCATGTTTAGAGCTTGTATATAGGTTTCTTGAATGTTATTCTTTGATCTATTCTTGGGTTCAAGTCATTTCCTTGTTGTAGTGAGATTTAGGGTGTTTTGGACTTGAACTTGACCTTGGAGATGAATTTCCCCGAAGGAAATTAATTGTTGCACAGGTGTTCCCCGCGGGTGGAACGGCGGGCGGATGTCCACCCGCGGGTGGAAGATTGTACTTGGCAGGAGGTTCCATGGGTCTGAGTCCATTGTTGTTGTTGAGTATTGTTTCATGTCTATCATTGAAAGCTCTTGATTGATGTCTATGATGTGATCTTGTACATTTGATTGTACCCTTTGTTGATGCTTGATTGGGCTAATGATGTGCCTCAATCCTCTTGATAATGACTATGTGTATCTATGAATGAGATTGGTGGTATTATTATTTGAGCTTTGCTCACGAGATCGATGGTAATATTGTGTTATTTAATGGTACCCTCGTGTACTGAGATATCAGTGGTAATACTATGAGATTGGTGGGGGACGACGGTCCCAGGCGAAATAAGGTTGGACTCAGAAGCACAGGGTGGCACTAGGAGGAAAGAGTTGGAACTGAAATAAGGCCGGGGGTAGCCATAAGGTTGGAACAGGGCATAAGGTTAAACTTGTCATTATGTGATTGTTGTGTTTATTGCTTATGAGTATGTCTATCGAGAACTCTACCATTAAGATGCACTAGTACAAAATTGAACATAGAAGATTGACTATAGACCACCATTGTTTAAAGAATGGTTGCCTAATCTTAGCCCATAAATTCGCGATGACAATTTTATAAATAAGTGATCAATAATCTGTCACCGTTATTAGCTATAATGATTGCCCATTATATTTTTTATTTATTTTAAAAAAAATGATTTATAATAGACAACCTTTTTATAGAAATGATTGCTTTAAAATAGCATTTGTTTTATAATAGGCAACCATTTCTAAAAAAATGATTGCCTAATATTAACCCTATATCTAATATGATATAGATAGAAATCTCTCCCACGTACAGTAGATCTATAAGCTTCCTTCACGCACAAATCGTCTCACCGGCTTCAACAATTCAGATCTTCGAACCACCGGCTTCAACACTCCCACCCATCGCATAGCTACCACCGGCTTCACGTCGCACCCCAGCCACCACCGTTCACAGCCACCGCGACAAAGCACGCCACCAACGTCGCACACCACCAACTGTCGTCGCACACCCACCACCGCGACGCCGACGCTACAACCGCCACCACGCCGTCGATCTGCACCCCTCCCTTGCCCTGCGACGATGGTGGCCTCCCTGTGACGACGCCACCGCTGCCGGCTCCATCAGGTAGGGTTTTTTATTTTTATTTTTTTTATAAAAAAATAATAATATCTTAATGTTTTATTATTATTTTAGATAAAATGTGATATTTCATGATTTTTAAAATTTTTATTTCGAATTAATATTAATTTGTAATTAAATTTAATTTTTATATATTGTTATATGTTAAAAAATATGAATTTTTATGAGTATAATGCTTATTATTGTTCTTGAGCTATGGGAGATCCAAAAAAATGAGTTAAATGTGAATATGTGATTATGTATGTGCAAATTTGATTATGTATATGCAAATTTAGATGATAACACATCACAACCATTCTATTAAATGCATACTACACACACATATAGGGTCAACTTGATTAATCTTATTCTACACACACATTTAGGGTCAACTTGATTAATCTTATTCTACACACACATTAATTACAAAAATAGCATTAATCTAACTAGTATTGATATATAAATGCATAAAAAAGTAGTGTATGTAGTACTAGCCCTGCCAAAAAGAAATTGATTATTAGTACTATCATCTGTGTTATAGATTCCAGTTAACTCAATAAACTACAGTCTCCTACTCAAAGTTTGACCCTCTTTAGGCTTATGGAATAATTTAGAAATCCAAAGATCAGAAATCAAATTTGATACTTCAGGGATTAGGTAGTTGTGTTTTTAACTTTTTTTATCATTGTCAGACTCGGATATTCAAGATGATCCTTGTTTTTGGTTGAGTTATTTTATGGAGTATCATTTGCACATTTTTTGTTTATGTACTTGCAAACTCATTATTTCTCTTAAGAGACTTACTGAAGTAAACTTTTCAATGTGGGCAAATATTTTTCAAGCATGTGCTTGTCATATTCTTTTTCAACTTGTTGTGACTGCCCTTTAACTATATTTGAAGTGCACTAGTGAGGGGAAATTGCATTCATATATGTTGCTCTGCCCCATTTGTCTTTGCACTTGTTACTTTTTGGTAGAAGCAACATATGCATACACATAGGTTTGCAAATGCTTTTTCTTGCTGTAGCCACTTCTAATTATTGCTTGATAAATTGCAATATATGTGTCCACATAGCCACAGTGTCTTGGCAAGTAGTCAAGCACATGCACAAAGAGGATTCAGAAAGATGAGAATCATGATATGAATTCATTACCTTGTATCAGTTTCAAATTCTATTCCCCATGTCATAACTTGGATAAAACTTCAGACCTTCAGTGCATATGCATTCATGCATGCACACACAATGACACAAATACAAGAGAAGACATGTATGCTTATGATATTTGACTTCAAAAACATACTATTTTAGTGTGGAAACTTTTGTCTGCCTGGCTGATTAAGAGTGTCAGTGCAGGGTACAAACTTCAAAGAGTGGCAACTGGTGGTGAATGAAATTGTCCGATTCACAAAGGTGGATTTTACCTCATTGGTTGTTAGGCCTTTGCGGTATTGTGCTATGTTTGCTTCATATCCATTGTCGACCTTATGTGGCCCGCTTCCATGCTAAGAAGGTCCTGAAGTTTCAAGATGCAGTGCTAACTAGCTATCATAAAAATGAGGTACTAATAAATGCTTTTGCTTCTCTGGTGTCACTAGGTTTAAAATTTGTTTTTATAAGCTTGCCTTTGTTTCATTTCAGGTCAAGTTTGCAGAACTAACTTTAGATACTTTTAGAATGCTCCAATGCTTGGAATAGGAACCCAGTGGTTCTTTCTATCAGAAGATGGCCATTGAACCACAAGATAATGGGGCACTGGCTGACCATTCCTTGACATCTGGACTGATTAATATAAATTTGGCTGCTGACATGACGGATCCAGATCTTCCTTCAAATCCTAAAAAAGCCACGCTTTATCGCCCTTCAGTTGCACAATTGATAGCAGTGAGTACTGAAGTTTTTGCCTTTATATTTTGTTATTCGTACAATCTTGCTCAAGTTCTTCGTTGATTTCTAGGAAAGTAGTGGTTCTGATCAACGAATGAGAACAACTGATTTTGCATGTCAGGACAGTTTGAATTGTAGATTGAGTCTCTTGCTTTCTGTGTGCTTCTGTAAATACCATCATATGAAATAAGGTCAATCTGCTTTACAACTGATGTACATTTGTTTTAGCACCAAAATACATCTAAAATCCTTTTGGTGTATACCTAGTCATATTCATCTTTGCTTGGTTACTCATATGCTGCAGGTCATTGCCACAATATGTGGAGCTTCCTCCAGAAAGTGTGATCTTATTATACGTCTCTACATCAGGTTACCATTCTTTTACTATTTTTTTTTTCACAGCCAACGATGCATGTTGTGACCATGGCAGGAAACTCATACATGCGCTCTGCTTTTAGGGAGTTCTGGTCAGAGTAGTCCAACACAGATGGAGAACTCTATACGTTCAAGAAAATCTTCGAAGCCCACTGCTCATTCTCATACTTCTCATGAACAGAATAGGTCTCTGCATGAAAACCATATCAGTTGCAATAGAGATTCAAATCGCTATTTTGAGAACTATTTGTGGTTTGGTCCTAGCAGAAATGGAGGTACCAGAGTGGATGAACCCTTTTTCTGTTTGTGGTTCTTAATTTTGGTAATCTCATTTGATGGTTTACCTCCTTGTAGACAAAATTCATTTGTTTTAATGATATTATTGTATTAAAGTATGAGGATTTTAAGTATTATTGTGTTTTGATGATAGTATTTGCATTGTGTTAAAAGTATTGTGTTTAGTTTGATGATAGTGTTGTTGATAGATAAATTGTATTGTGGAGTACTATTGAAATGGATTTTAAGCTATAACAGGTACAAGAATTATAAAAAAAAAATAGAGCTTTTAATTAAAATAAATTAAATATATAAAAAAACAAAAAATAAGTCATCCGCGACCATTCCTAGATTAAAATGGTCGCAGATGACTGATTAATAAAAATATAAAAAAAGAAAACGCGACCGTTTCTAAGATCAAACGGCTGCGTATTACCTTAGAATTTAAAAAAAAAAAAAATACAATACGCGACCATTAGAGGTCAAGAATTGTCGCGTATTACCGACAATGCGCGACCATTTCAAAATGGTCGCGTAAAGTCCATGGTTTTCCGCGAGCCTCGCATAGGCAACCATTGTACACTGGTCGCGTAATGTCTTTTACAATGGTTGCGTATGTGCAGTTTTGTACTAGTGATGGTAGGTTGTGGTCCTTGTTGAGTATGCTGATTGTGGTTCTCGATGAGTATGTTGATTGTGGTCCTGGTTGACTTGTGTATTGTGGTCGTTGGTCTTTGTTGAGAGTGTGGTGTTGTGTCCCTTGATGTTCCCTTCCCTTGGCTTTGAAATGATATATATTGTATTCCCTTGTCTCAAATGACTTTGCTTATATCTATATTCTATCTTACTTAACGCGTATTGGTGGGTTACCACCATCTCTCGCTGACGGGTGTTATCCATATGTTTTTCAGGTTATGATTAGCTTGGAGAGTGCGCTAGTGGATCTAGTTAGCGTAGTCTTGCCTTCCCTTTTGATTAGATTGTTGGCCTGTGTGCCTTAGACTGCTGATATGTTATGATGTTTCTATTAGACTTAGCCTGTGCACCCGTAGATTTTTGGGTGTGGCATAGCACCTTCCCGATTAAGAGTTTTGCTTCTGCTCGTTTATGATTAATGCTTAGATTGTTTATCTCTTATTTAAGCTTTTAAATATTGGTAAAATCGAGGGTGTTACACATTAGCCGGGCGACCGATCTCACTAGACGAACAGAACCTGTTCGTTTTTAGGGGCCTTGGTCTGGAATTCCGGGCCATGGCCTCCTCTCTTACCGCCGCAGGTATTCCCGTCTCCATCCCCCAGATGTCCGACTTTTTACAGGCACAAGAATTCATCCACGCCGAGTATTTCCCGGCTGGATCGGATGGTGGTTTTGGCGCTGCTCCATCGGCGCTGTATACAGACCGTGGCCGTCGCAACAATTGCGATGGTGAACGGAATGGTTTCAATGGTCAAGGCCGAGGCGATCCAGGTCGTGGCCGTGGCGGGCAAGGCAGAGGACATGGTGGCCGGAACGGCGTGCTGCGTTGCAAGATATACCGGGCTCAAGGACACACTGCCGTGTACTAGTACAAGCGATACACCGGGCAGCCGCCAGCTCAGGCAAATATGGCTGCTTCCGGCGAAGACACGACGGTGCCCTCAACCGCCGGCTGGTTTCCGGACACCGGTGCATCGGCCCACGCAACACCGGACGCACCCTTGATGTCCCAATCCGATGAATACACCGAGGTTGACGTTCTCTATGTTGGTAATGACATAGTTTTGATTATTTCACGCGTTGGTCATGCGTCTATACCTTCCGAGTCAAAGTCCTTACATTTATCTAATGTGTTATATGTGCCTGAATTGTCAGTCCTGTTACTCTCTGTTCAGCAGTTTACTAATGACAATAATGTCTTTTTTGAATTTCAAAAAAATTGTTAATGCGTTAACATATGTGCACCTGTCCAAATGATGCACAAGGTTATTTGACCTATAAACATGTTTAATGATAGTTGTGATTGCAATCATATTTAATTTTGTTTGACAGGAGCTGAAACAAACGAAAGTGGACTAAATGTATGTGGTATGCACATGTGGGAATAAAGTATATGGTATGTTCGTCGGAGGTCGTCAGCAACATCGAGTCCAATATACATTAAACCAACAACAACAGCAAATAACAAATGAAGTGGGAAACAATTCAAAAGCTCAAAGGAAAAATCAATAGAGCAGTGTGCAAAACCCAAGCGACTGTGCCACATATGCAACCAACTAGGACACCATGATAGTTGCCTCAACTGCCCACATATGTGATTGACGTGACGATCAGAATGTATAATTATTTGTTTCTAATCATTTACTTTTTGGTGTATTATTTTTGATAGGATAATGACATAAATAACAGGACGTGATTACATATTATGCGTGTACACTTTTTAATGGTAAGGTGCACACAATGAGTTGTTTTAGTGATGCGTTATGCAATGTCGATGCACTCATGATTTGATATATATGCACATAGTTTTTCATTTGTTGTAACCTAACGAACAAGCGACATATTCGTATAATTGAGCAAATAATGTTGTGGATATAAAAGCACATGTGCAATTTGGCAAAATATGTGGGCAAATACTGTGCAGAACTAAACTCAATCCTAGTGCTACGTGTGCATTCTGGACAAAATTGTGTGGACATATAAATGTGAAAATTGAACATATCGGAAGGAAAAAATGAACACTTAGCAATTTGATTTCATTCATTTTTTTTTTTTAAAAATTAATGTGATGTGATTGTGTGAATGAGCTTTTTTGTAGGACGAAAATTAAAATAACAATGCGACGTTATGAAACAACACGTGGTCTGTGTGAACAAAATCCTCAAAGCACGTGCACTCCACAATATAATATGTCGATTTTTCGTTAGGTTACAACAAATAAAAAATATTGTGCACCTAAGCGAAATCATGTGTGCACTTAATGTATATAACGTAACACAACAATAACGCATCGTGTGCACCCTCTAATTAAATTGTGCTCACACACAACACACAACACATAATAAACCACATAGGTCAAGTTACAAAACCAAGTTAACAGAATTAGAAACATTTATGAATAAACATTATCCCGAAAAAACAACAACCTACAAACTTCATATTGGCACATCAAAGACTAATTGGTAGCCACTGGGAGTAGTCATAAACTGAAATGCCTAAGCTAGATTCTTACATTTGTGAACATTGAAATCTGAAACAACAATATCCTTCATATATGGTAACCGTAGGCGCTGCAACACAGAGCGGTCATCTTTGCGTAACCCACAATCCCAATTCAACACATCTTGCCCTACATACGTCTCCATGTGACACATGACATAGACACCACAATCGACCTTACTTTTGGAATCACACCACAACATCTGCATCACCTTGGCAACCAAATTTCTACAGATGATAGACCTGACAATATCAATACACTTGAAAAACTCAAACAACATTTCCTTCTACATAACATAAAAAATTTTAAAATGAATAGCAAACAATTACAGATAAGAAAACCCTTAGTGATTCATAGGTCTGATACGTACCAAATTTTCCAAAGTGCAAACAAATTAAATGAAAAACTTGCCACAAAATACAAAAGAAAAAAAAAAGCAGTAGCAAAAACATGCCATTACTAATACAATACACACCACAACACAGCAGAATGCACACAATCGTTGCTATTAGGTAACGAGTGTTTGGTACCGTCTGGTGATATGTCCATGAAACAATCAGGTAGTTCGCCTCCATTTTGCTCTTCGATTGTGAATGTCCACAGCATTATTACAATAACATTAAATTCACTCGTCATCACTTTGCAGGACTTACATGTTCGTAGAAGTGCCAACATTTTAACTTAAAAAAAAAAAAAAAAAACCGTGCACATATGTTTTGTCTTTGTTGCACATGAGGACACACGTGCGCATGTGCACATTAGTGTGGGCAAGGAAAACAATATGTTGTGCGTCTACTCCAAAGAGCATCATAACTCTCAGACATGATTTTCTGCAGTTTTGCAAATCTTTTTCATACAACTCTGTTGCCAGAAATCTCAACATTAAATATGCACCTTTTTTTTTTTTTTAACAATTCCAATCTAAATGCAATAAACACACTGTATCCAATATTAAACATATGCTGTTAAAGGTGAGTGATGCGCAGCTCGACATAATTACATGATTTTTCCGCCTCCAAGTCGTATGGATTCGCATTCATCTCTTCGCGCCTCAGGACTGTGTGCACAGTTCTCGCCGCTTTGCTATGCTGGAATGCTGTTTCTGGATGGTGTTTGCCGCATATAGGATTATCGTTGGTTGGAGGCCATATCTATTATTTCGTTTAATCCTACCATAATTAGTATTCTTTAATTTTGGTTTAATATCAACTCCTAATTTTTACCTTAATTATCCTAATTAGAAATTGTCTTAACTGCCATTTTTATCATTAAATATGATCCTGAAATATTTTTATTCCCTATAATCTAATCCATCAATCTACTAAAATCTTATGGCCCATATTTGTCCACATGTTTGTATTTTAAAGGTGTTTGCATGTGAATGCAACCCTATATATATATACTAGCTTTTTACGCATACTGCGCGATTGTGATAATGCCTAATATTTTTTTTTAAAATAAGTACTTTAAAGTATATCAAGGCAAGATTATATTGGAATTGCTCATGCATAGATAATTGAATGTTGAATTTGCGTATTTAAATAGGTAATTTTAAGTTTACAAATGCAAGATAATATAGTCAAGGTTGATTATAATTGGTAATAAAATAATTGTATAGGTATGGTTGAAACCAAATACGGGACATAAGGGAGAGCAAATAAAAATTTGGGCATAAAATATTAAATATATACTAATATTAAAGAGTTAACTGCTGATTGACAAACAAGGACATTGCGAGGTAGTTTATCACGTTAATTTGTTGTGTGATTTGAATACTCTTTTTGTCAATAAATCCCCTAAGTAGTTAATATGATTGGCTTAATTATATATTGTTTTATTTTTTTTATTTTTTAAAAACAATTATTACTATTACTATTACTATTACTATTACTATTACTATTACTATCACTATCACTATCACTATTACTATCACTATTACTATTACTACTATACCCTTAGGTCATTTTACATGTT